TCAATCCTCCTTCAGTTTGAACACAAGTAACAGCTCTAGTATACATATCTTTAATGACTTGAATATAAGTCATATCAACACATTTCTTCTCAAGAACTCTCCAAAGGATATCTCTTGGAACCTTATCGTAAGCTTTTCTAAATCAATAAAAATCAAATGTAGATTCTCCTTATTATCTCTGAACTTCTCAATCACACCTCTCAATAAATGTATAGCTTCCATAGCAGACTTGCCCGACATAAATCCAAATTAATTATGAGAACTTTTTGTAATGCGTCTAAACCTATCATCAATTACCCTCTCCCATAATTTTAAAGTATGACACATCAACTTAATTCCTCTATAATTTGCACTCTTGTGCATCCCCTTTATTCTTAAAAATGGGGACCAAAATACTCTTCCTCCACTCCTCAGACATCTTTTTAGTTTTTAAAATAATATTAAAGAGTTTAGTGAGCCAATAAACTCCCAAATCTCCTAAATATTTTCAAACTTCAATTGGGATATCATCAGGTCCTATAGACTTTCCACCATTAGTTTTCTTTAAAATCTCCTCAACTTCTTTATTACTAATGCGACAGCAAAAATAAAATATTTTATTATTATTCACGATATTAAGATCACTAAGGTTGATTGTATTTTCAGAATCTTCATTAAAAAGTTTATCAAAATAACTCCCACCTATGTTGAATATCTTTTTCTAAGAAAAGTACGTTTTGATTTTAATCTTTAATACACTTTACTTGAGTTAAATCTTTACTTTTCTTCTCTCTTTGTTTAGCTAGTTTATACATATATTTTTCACTCTTCTTAGTATCTAATATATTATACAGATCATTAAAAACAATTTTTTTAGCATCACAAATTATTCTTTTAGACTCCCTACAGGTCGTTTAATATTCTTCCAAGTTCTCTAAATTTTCATATTTAAACCAATTTTTATAACATAACTTCTTATATTTTATATTTTCTTGCACATTATTATTCCACCACTAACTACTTTTATTTATAAAAAATATTTTCTTTTGATTCTCCAAGCACATCTTTTGCTGCTTGTTTAATAGCGTTTGTTACCTTATCCCACATAACATTTGTTTCTTCATGAATATCTCAAATTTTGAAATCATGAATTTTACTCATAAAAATAATTTTATTTGTGTATTTTAGGTTCATCCATCTAATTATACGATGAAGAATCCTTGTATTTTTTATTTTACAACTCTTCATCTTAAAATCTAGGACTAAAAAATAATGTTGGGTACTTAAATTTTCACTTGGAATAACCTTACAATCTTTACAATCTTGACGATCTTTTTTTCTCATAAGAAAATAATCAATTTGTGTTCTATTAGATCCACTCTTATAAGTAATAAGATGCTCATCTCTTTTCTTGAATAAAGTATTAGTAACAACAAAATCATACGCTAAAACAAAATCTAAAATTACTCCAAAACCGTAGCCACCATGAGTATATCTGAAGTCTTTTACCACTCTACCGACATGTCCATTAAAATCTCCTCCAATAAAAATTCTTTCTTCAAGAGGTATCATTTGTATTAAGTCTTCTAATTCATTCCAAAATTTATCTTTAGACCCTGTATCTAAACCTATTTGAGGAGCATAAGCACTTATAATATTAAAAATCTTAGTATCAATGATAATCTTAAGGGCTATAATTCTATCACCAACTCTATTAATTTTTACAATATTATCTTTCAAATTCTTATCAATAATTACACCTACACCATTTCTAGTGCGACTTTTACCAGAATACCAAAGTTTAAAACCTAAATTATCAATCTCTTAGCCTTTTCTCCAACCCATTTAGTTTCTTGAACATGATATCAACTAATTCCATTAATTTACCATTGAAAGTACATATATTCCAAGATTCTATCCTAATATTAGTTTCATTAGTTTCATGGACTAACTTCTTTACTCGCATTCGTCTGTAATGTGAGAACCCTTATTTGACACAACACCCGGGCGCTGATGTAGCGACCCTTGCACACTTTTCACTGTATTCAGGCTATACAACGCCTCGCCTCCAGGTTGATAAAAAAGATTCATGTCATGATTTTTTTCGACAAGTTTTACGCTGACTGTCGACTACCTAACGCAACCCTCTACTTTTCACATCTAGGCTTAGGACCGACAATGACAGTGTTCAATTAATAACAGTCCATCAAACAAAATTTCAACAAAAGCTAGTTAGCTCATGAACACAGTAAAGTAGACTAAACACATAATAGGAGCAAAAAACACAGCAAATTAATCACAGGGCATAAAAATAAAATTTATATACTTCCATAAAAATCAAGGGTTCTTCCTATCATTACACTAATTGAGACAAAATATTCCAAACAACTATAAATAAAGAAGAAATGCTATATCTAGACAAAGAAACGGTATCTCACTCCACCAACTTGAGAATTTTAAAGCAATGTAAATAAATAGAGTTTAATGCTTTCCTAGACTATAACCGAAAATTTTAGACTGGCAGCATGAATGAAAAACTTGCTGAAGTACATAGGCGAGGATTGACATGAGATGCTTTTGGGTTCATGCTCAGCACTACAGTAAATCAGCAAATAACAAACAGACAAGACTTATATATTAAGCACAAAACAATATATTTTGCACATTAGAAAATAGCATTTTAATATTTATGGGTTACTTGGGATTATAATTTTTAATAATTTGGAATAAAATAAAATTAGTAGCTTATTAAGTCTGAGGGATGGTGTTAACAAAAGGCGGTGACGATGGTGGGCATAGATGGCGGTGTTTGTTGTAATATTAGTGATTGTCATGGTGGCCGTCGATGGCCAGCATCAACAATGATCAGGTAGCAAACAAGGATGGT